TCATCCACCAGCATGACAAGTCTGGGCGGAGTATCTCCAGTCTTTGTAGGTGGGCTATCCAGCTTGACACTAGGCACAACAGGGGGGCTCTTAGGTGTAGGGGCTGGTGTGTTCACAGCAGTTGCTGTACTGCTTGTGTCGGGCGTCTGGACAAGAGCTGGGCAGCAGAACTAAAGGGGGAATAATAATTAATTGACCACTTTTTAGGGGACCAGACATAATAAATAGTATCTTCAAAAAGTGTGTACTTACACACATATGATTCCGTAGAGCCTCGATCATTTTGAACTGAGCTCCACAACGAGGACACAAATGAGAGATCGTTGATGGTGTCGTATGGGTAACAGGGATTGCTACAAAGAAAGGAAAGCGTTTGGAATTTATCAGCGTGGCTTTCGTCTAGTATGGAACTGATGCATTAACCAAGAAGAGAACAGGAAACTTACTTTGGACAACATTTTGTGTCATGACAGGAACAGCAGAGGAAACAATAGAGCCGTTATTGGTTTTTTGATTGCTCATTACAACAAAGGTCTGTGCTTGAGCCCCACCGGGAAGGTTAACAGATTTCACGAGGCTCATTATGTTTTGCATGTCCAAGGGTCCATTTCCTGGCTTTATCGTAACTGTAAATAGGAATAAACCCAATTTTAAAACAGATCATTGCAGTCCCGGATGCTGATTGGTCAATACAGAGTAATAACATAAATATCACCATCTGTAATAAATACTAATTTACATGAATTTATCTTGTAAATTTGGCTGTGATTTTTTTAGTCTTTCCAAATATTTATTCATACCTTCACTGTTTCTTAAAAAAAAGCTTAAATCTTTGTCTAATAAAGATAGGCTATAGTTTAATTATCAACAGGATCCTGCATCTTACCGATTTTAGTTGTGGTTCGTGCTGTGGAGGGCTGAGTAATGGTTGTGGAGGACATGGTGGCCAGAGAATTGACTGCAGGTGGGGTGATCGCTGTTGTGGTCCGGATAGTAAGAGTAGCAGGGATTTGCATTGTGCTGAAAGTGCTAGGCGTTTTGGGCCTGTTTGCGACCGCCGCTGTGGCCCTTATTTGAGCTGGCTGGGTAATTATTTGGGTTCCTCCAACAGCTGGTTTAAATATTTGTGTCCCAGGTGCTGAACAGACATAAAATTGAAACATTGTTAAATCAATGAGCAAATCAAACCCTGTGAAACTAAAACCGAAGTTTAAGGCGCATTTTGACATACCTTGGACTAAAGTAATGGGTCGAACAGTCTGGCCTTGTTGGACATTCAGCACCAAACTCATTGGGCCCTGGCCAGGCTGGCCAGGATGGATATTCTGCACAGGAAGACCCTGTATCATACACAATAGGAAACATTTTGATTAACACATTTTGAGGTAACCAGAAATGAGCTGGGATCTATGAGGTGGGATGGCAGCACCTGAGTGGTAAAGTAAAACGGCTGGCTGTTGGTGGCATTGGCAATAGTAGATGTCACAGGCAGGAGAACCTGCGACAGAGCCACAGTGCCCAGCCCTCCTGCTCCTGATGTTAAAAAGACCTGTTGCCCTTGTATTGCTTTAGGAATGTCCGCCGGCACAGCAGCAGGAACCATGCGTTGAGTCACTGAAAGAATAAATAACTGAGTAAAGAAGTAGTGCAGATAAAATGCTGTTATCAAGATAGTGGCAAAGGCCCTGGTGTACCATTTTTGTAGTTTATACAACTTTTGTGCTTAAAAATCATAGAAACCACTTTTTATAATTTTTCTCAATGGAAAAATAGCAGCCAAGATAGTATTTATAATTAGTTTGTGTTTAAAGGGGTGATGAACTGAGAAATCAAATTTTCCTTGAGCTTTTCACATCTATTTTTTTTTTAACCTTTATTTAACCAGGTTTGTCTCATTGAGATATAACATCTCTTTTTCAAGAGAGACCTGGCCAAGATAGCAGAACAAATTTGATTACACAATCACAAAACAAACACAATCGTAAAACAAACACAAAAAAGGCAAAGACAATTCATGTATGTATCAATTTAAAATAAAAGTGTCATTAATTAAAACATTTGCACGTGTGGATGAATTCATGTTCTATAGTTTTAACATAACCTTTAAAATCATTTAAGGGAATAAGACACTGTAGTTTTAGTGTTTTCTGTAGCTCATTCCAAGTAGAAGGAGCAAAACACATGAAAGCCTTTTTGAACAAATCTGTCCTGGCTTGAGGTATATTTAAGAGGTAATCGTATTATAAGAATTACATCTAAGAGGTAATCGTATTATAAGAATATCCTGCAAGTTTCAGAACTGAAAACTGAGTCCGTGTTAGTCCAATAAAAGCTTTTATTGACACCAGCCCTAGCAAACGACTCGTTTTTCAAAGTGGGGAACTATGACGTCAAATAGGATAAAACACCACCCCCGCAGAAGAAGAAGAAGATCAACGCGGTTGGTTTAGCTCCACCCACTGATTCGCGAATAGCTAAATAACATAGGCCTTTCTCATGATGACAAAACGGATCGAGCTACCAAGCAATATAGAATATTGTACAGTCAGTGCCTGGTTGTGGAAGAAGACGGTCGCTGCAAAAACCGAGCAAACGTCATAAGCTGACCCCAGACAACAATATAATAAAATTTAAAAAGCCAGTTCATGACCCCTTTAAAGGACAATGTCATTCGGATTTGGAGCAACAAGAGGATGAGTAAATAATTAATAGGCAAAATAAACTGATAATACGTAACAGGATACTCACATGTATTTGTGATCAGCGGAACCGCGTTTGCCGTATTTACTACTGGTGGAAGGTTTGGGATCACCACAGTCTTAGGCTCAGCTGGAATATCAACCACTGTCATGGCAGGAGTGGAAGATACTAAACAACAGTGGGGAACAGGTTTTAGATAGCATAATGATATTAAAATACAAATATTTCTTAATTACACAAAGAATCTCTGGAATATGGGTGATTTAAACATACATTTAACAATAAATATTTCAAAAAGAATATATTAAATATATTACACACCGGTCGGAGTAGTATCAGCCTTTCCCTCTAATTCATCCATTGAATTTTGCTGTTGCCATGGTTCCAGCTCCTCCTCCTCACACTCCATAAACAAATCCGCGTCCATGTTTCTGAATCATAAAGTATTTATTGAGCTAAACGGTTAACGTGCTTGTACAATCTATATGAAAACACTAAACAGTAATGTAATTGCTGCCCATGGTATTTAACGTATTAATAAATCATAAGTCGTGAAATTTTAGGTTTTCATTTTAGATTTGACAGCTGAATGACGTCTGAAGTGAAGACCCTCACAATTTTCACAGGGCTCTGACAGCATTCAGGTCCGACCAGTTTCAACGTCAAGGGTGGCGTTTACAAAAAACCCTCATCCTGCAAATTACATAAATAAATAAAAGAGTGAGTAAACCACATTTTGTGTTCACATATATTATTTATAAAAAATGTAATAAATGGGTTAGATGTTCAGTGTGCTGCCGTATCACTTCAGGAAAGCCTTCAACAAATTGTCTAAGTACGCGCAATGTGATTTCATCCAACTGAAAGAGGCAAAGAGAAAAGTAGTTCCTGTGTCCTTTCATCCAATGCGTGAGACTACATGTTTTGACAAACCCAAATAGAAGCATGAGCCTTAGATGTGTACAATAACAATAAATGCGGATTAACATCTAAACTAGGTTGGAACCAGTGACGGCGCGATTTATATTACAATTAGCAGTACTCGGTCACATATTATGCAGCAACCACCTCGCGCGCTAAGTGCGCATTCCGCATACTGTCCCCTGCGCACATAATGAACGTCGATCATTTAATGTGTAGATTAAAGCGCCAATATAACGAATATTGTCGAATTTATAAATAATACTTACCGGATTATAGTCTATATGGAAATATGTGCAATGTAATATATTGAAAGCACACAAAGCCAGCCGGTACGTCACAGACGAGACGAATAAATGCGCTAAATGGGCAGAGGTTCTGCTCTTTCGGCGACAGCGATTGGTTGATGCGTGCACAACGCCACTTCCTGTTTTGGATTCGGACCTCTGATTGGATGTAATATCTGAAATAAGGAGGAGTGGTTACTGGAGCAAGAAAATGGCTTCCTTCCTTACAACGACAACATTTTACACTATCTAACCAACTGCTGGCTCAATAGTGGCAAACAGATAGTGTTTGGATTTTATTCAAAATGGTGTTTTGCAGCTAAATTGACAAGACCATCAAAGACTGGTGTTTTCTGTCTGAACTCAATTCTTGATTTTAAATTATTGATCACTTAAAACATCTCCCATACAAAAATATTGGCTGTAAATATTAATTTTTACTCAATTGACAAGTAAAGCATTGATAAATATTTTAGGAACCAAAAAGCAAAAAGCAGTACTTTTTAGAACCGGTTCCAACTGGTTTACAGATACACAGGCTACTATGAGATTCGGTTCTCAAACGTGCGTCCTTCCGCCAATATGTATGGAACATCCCATTGCATTGTTAACAACATGTTTACTTAACTAGTACTATTGCAATTCACTGCAAAGTCGTTACTACTAAATAATTCAGCATGAAATGATGTTCGATTCAAGAACAAGTGACTCTTAAGAGTCGATTCTTTTTAGTTCATCTAACAGTGTAGTCGGATGAAATGAATCCTCTGAACCGATTCTTTTAAGTGAATCAATATGACTCAGAAGAAGCGGTAATCTGAACCAATAACTTAATTGGTTATGTTGTACTTTATTTTAACATAAATAATAGATTACAAAATATCCTAGGTCTGTATACTTTCAGCGCTGAATATTATTAAAACCACTATCTGACTATTGAGGCTATTAATCATACAAGAAAGTTGAAGAAACTGATGCTGAGATATTAACGTTTCATAACACGATGAAATCTGCTGCTAAATGATGAGACGCGCTTAATCAGCCAGTAGGCGAGACGGACAGCAGGTAGGCTACTAAGCTGTAAGACCTATATATAGCATTCTGCACAGGACACACAATGAATGTAACATCCCAGGGTTATTCTTCATTTTGTACACCTGCTGCTAACTACATGAGATATGGACCGAGTCACATCATCTGATCGAGTGAACTATGGCATCGTCGTCTTCGCGCTGACGTCGATCAGTAAGTTACGTCAGAGAAAGTGCGGTTACGTGCATTATTTGAACCTTTAAGAATTAAAAGAATCTCTCTCTCTCTCTCTTTCAGTCAGTCATCAGAGAGTAATACTTTTATTCAGCACGGGTAAATAAAGTTCAAGATAAAGCCATTTATAATGGCATACAAGATGTTCATTTCAAATAAATTGTGTTATTTTGAAAGAAAGAATCTTTAAAAAATGTATCTCGGTTTGCTCAGAAATGTTAAGCAACACAACGTTTAATTTAATTTTAATAGGGAATATTGGATGCCAAATCAGCATATCTGAACGAAGGATCAGGTGACACAATAAATGATTGGAGTAAGCACAGATTTACATGTTAAAGCAGCAGTCCGCAGTTTTTCCTCTTTGTCGCCATCTCTGTTCGAAATCTGCAATTGCAGTTATTCACGGAATTATCAACTTCACGCAAGTAGTTCGACACCGCAAAGCGCGGATGAACACAATGTTTGAGGAGACTGCGAGGCTGCCAGTCACTGCGCGGTGTAGATACTGGCATCCCAGACAGCAAACTGACATTGAATCAACGTGGAAACGACGTCTCTCATGACATTGAAACAACGTTGATTTGCTCATCGAATTAACGTTGAACCAACGTCAGACGCGGAATTCTTCAAAGCTAAATGAAATCGAAAATTGGTTTGCTTTCATGACGTTGAAACAACGCGTTGATTTCAAGTTGATTTTCCGTTAGTTTTGAAAGAATGACGCATCTGACGTTGGTTCAACGTTAATTCGATGAGCAAAACCATGTCAGATCAACGTTGTTTCGATGTCATATTTCCACGTTGATTCAATGTCAGTTTGCTATCTGGGATTCAATCACAGATTTTTGGAAGTATGACCAACATAATGATTTTCACAGGAAAATGTCATCTGAACAAGTAGATAACATCCAATTTTGTTTTGGTTATGACATTGCTGTAAATCGCGCTGATTAAACCTAAAATCGCTTATCATCACGCAAAACCGTGCAAATTATAGCCTACTTTGTCCTCAAATTGTTAATGTTAACAATATCAGCATTGCGTGACTACATGTATTGTGCTTCCGATATTATCCTTGTTTTCTCCTTGACTTTTCATTAAACACTGTATGTAATACCATCTCCCACACAGGCTTTATGCTGCTGCGAAAATGGATAGCTGGTGGTGTGTGCAAAAGCTTTGCTCGTTTGGATGGAAAGACAGTTGTGATCACTGGTGCCAACACTGGGATTGGCAAGGAAACTGCAAAAGATATGGCTCGTAGAGGTATGACACATTACCTACTATTTCCTCACCTATTATTCCCTTACTTCCAGTGTATAAATGTAAATATGTGTGCATATAGGGGCTCGGGTAATTATGGCCTGCCGGGACTTGACACGTGCTGAGAAAGCTGCGGAGTATATTCGCCGCTCCACAGGAAATGGCAATGTAGTCATCAGACATTTAAATCTAGCCTCTCTCTATTCTGTCCGAGAGTTTTCCAAAGAGTTCATATCCACAGAAGAACGACTGGATATACTCATCAACAATGCAGGTGAGTAAGATTTCACAAGAATGAAGCAAGCAATACAGAGAGGGGACCTATTATGCCCTTTTTTTACATGCCCGTTTATCTTAAAATGCAAATGAGCTGCTGTTCCCCACCCAACTTGCCTCATAAGACTCAATCAAAACCAAACAGATGTTTTTCTTTTTGGCAATCATCTCTACTGCGGTTATGCTCACGTGAGATTGCAGTTCTTCATCATCATGAAAGTTTATTATTTGTGTATGTTTTAAAGTCATATCAGTCTAAATTTCTGATATTGTTATCTGGTTTATACAAACCAGAAAGTTGGTGTTCCAATCCCCGGTTCCACCTGACCAAGTGTCGAGGTGTCCATGAGCAGGACACCTAACCCCAGCTGCTCCCGACGAGCTGGATGGCGCCTTGAATGGCTGACACCGCCATGGGTGTATGAATGGGTGAATGTGAGGCAATCTGTAAAGTGCTTTGGTGGCCATTGGGTCTGTGAAAGCGCCATATAAATGCAGCCCATTTCATGTTGTCCAAAGCAGCGTAGTACCTACTGTTATATATGCTGTTGATATGAATCAGACAACAATAGAATAACAGAAAATCACTCACTGCTCTTGATTGAATAACTTTAGTAGCTTTAATAACTTGAATGATAGATTATCTGAGACACTGCTTATGATTTATAGGGATTAAAAAAAGAGTATGTGGATTTTTACGGTTATTGGGTAGTTGTGTACACTCACTGTTGACACACATTATGTTCAAACACCAAGTAAAAGTGAATTTTGCATAATAGTACCTCTTTAAAGTTTTTTTTTTTTTCTGACAGGTGTGATGATGTGTCCAAAGTTGATCACAGAGGATGGCTTTGAGACACAGCTGGCTGTCAATCACTTGGGACATTTTCTTCTCACCAATCTACTATTAGGAGTGCTAAAGAGATCCTCCCCCAGCCGCGTAGTGAATGTGTCCAGTATTGTACATGTTGGTGGTAATTTTCAAAAGTTATTTTATGCTCACCAAGGCTGTATTATTTTGATTAAAAATAAGGAAAAAATACAGTAATATTGTGAAATATATTTATATATTACTTATATTTCTGTTTTCTCATTTAATATATTTACAATTTTTATTTATTCCTGTGACAACACTGTTATGTTGTCTTGATTGATACTGTGAAGCAGCTTTGATACAATCTGTATTGTGTAAAGTGCTATATAAATATATTTGACTTGACTTGACATGATGGCAAAGCTGAATTTTTAGCTTCATTATTCTAGTCTTCAATGTCACATGATACTTCAGAAATCATTCTAATATGCTGATTTCGTGCTCAAGGAACATTTCTTATATTTATCAATGTAAATTTATTTATCAAGTTGTGCAGATTAGTATTTTTATGGAAACCTTTTTTAAATCAAGATTCTTTGATTTAACAGAAAGTTCAATTTAATGCATTCTTGCTGAAAAAAGTATTTATTTCTTTACAAAATAAAATCTTTTGAACAGTAGTGTAGATGTTAAAGTAAAATACAACATTTTTAGTCCAATAGATATCCTTATTTGTCACTGTTCTCCTATAGGTAAGATTGACTTTGATGACCTTTTCTTTGACAAAAGGCCTTACAGTCCTCTGGCCAGCTATAAACAGAGTAAGCTGGCCAATGTGCTTTTCTCCAAAGAACTTGCACAAAGATTGAAAGGTAAGATACAACTAAAGTTTTTGGTATAGCAAACAAGTTTGAAACCTAACAAACAAACTAACAAAAAGCAACAAGTAGACAATATTCTATGTTTAATTTTTACGTCATTGTTGATTTTGTCACATACTGTTTCAATGGCCGTGCTTGATCAAGTTTGTATATAAATGGATGCTTCCATAGGTACAGGAGTTTCCTCATACTGCCTGCATCCTGGAGTTATTCGAACAGAGCTGAATCGTCATATTCTATTAAGGTACCCAATGCTGAAGACTATACTCTCTCTGCCCAGTATGCTACTGATGAAAACTCCCTGGCAGGGCGCACAGACCTCCATCTACTGCGCTGTCGCTGAAGGCTTAGAGAGGAAGTCTGGCTGCTACTTCAGGTAATAATTTGTCCATTGCTAAAGCATTGCAAGCAAAAAAGTTTCACTCTGATATACATCACAATAGGGAAGAAAGAAAAGACAACCGAAACTTCCGTTTCATCCTGAGTGCTGACTTCTAAAGAAAGGGCAAGACAATTAGATAAACTCAGACTTGTTTCTGTGCATCTGTGTTTTGTGCAGTGATTGTGCCGAAAAAGACACTGCTCCAGAAGGAAAAGATGATGCAGTGGCAAGAAGGTTGTGGGAGGAAAGTGCTCTACTGGTCGGACTAAACAACCCACACTGACGCTCTTCCTGATTGCAAGTGCTCCCTCTAGTGGTGATACCTGTGACTATAAAATAATAAAGAGGTAGCGGAATCACAGATAGGATGTCATGGCAGAGCTAGGGCCAAGGTAAATTGATTTCCATCGAGAGATGCATATTTGCCAGTATTGGTTTTTTTTTTTTTTTTTTTTTTTTTTTGGAACAGGATTTTCAAGAAAAAAAGCACAGTGGCTGTGTTTTCTTTGAAATTGATCACATTCTTATCAATTATGAGTGGACCGCTTTGGAGAAAGAACAAGAAGCAATGACAACAATGAGTTGTGTGTTTTTTTTTTTAAATCTTTGTTCTCAGGATTGATGACATGATGGTGCTCAGGACATTATCCGAACAAACTCCCGTAATATTCTTTAAAAAGAAATGTGAGGTACATTGTGTCCAGTATTGTGCATATCTAATTGTGTATAGATTATGTTTATAATATGTAATTATGTTCATTATTATGTAATTATGATACAACAAGCCTGTATCCTTCCACAATGAAATACTGCAGGTCAATTGAAAAATAAAGGAAAATATGGTTTCGACAGATGCAGACCCTGGACCACATGATCACCCTGTGATGTGGTTGTAGGTTACAGTTGCAATTATGTAACAAGGACACTCAAATCAATGTAAAACAGCACTCCTATTTTTTCTCTTTATTGATTTTTACATTCCGATAATCCCCCCCCCAATTATTCATATTTAAACAGTGTAAAATTCTAAGATGTCCAAATTGCCTAGCTATGTTGTGGGTGTAAAATAATTGGTTATTCATTTTTATTCATATTCTCATATTGCTATTTCATTCATTCTCATTTGCTAAAAATCATTATACACTACCGTAATACATACATACATACATATATATATATATATATATATATATACAAAATAAAAGTTTGTGTTTACATAATATATGTGGGTGCACTGTGTATAATTATTTTACATATATAAATACACACACATGCTTGTATATATTTAAGAAATATTTTCATGTATATACTGTATATAGATTTATATTATATAAATATGAATATTTTATATATAAATAATATTTTTTCTTAAATATAGATGCATGTGTGTGTATTTATATATATAAAATAATTATACGTAGTGCACCCACATATATTATGTAAACACAATCTTTTATTTTGGATGAGATTAGTCATTTGACAGCCCTAATATATATATATATATATATATATATATATATATATACACTCACCGGCCACTTTATTAGGTACACCTGTCCAACTGCTCGTTAACACTTAATTTCTAAGCAGCCAATCACATGGCGGCAATTCAGTGCATTTAGGCATGTAGACATGGTCAAGACAATCTCCTGCAGTTCAAACCGAGCATCAGTATGGGGAAGAAAGGTGATTTGAGTGACTTTGAACGTGGCATGATTGTTGGTGCCAGAAGGGCTGGTCTGAGTATTTCAGAAACTGCTAATCTACTGGGATTTTCACGCACAACCATCTCTAGGGTTTACAGAGAATGGTCCAAAAAAGAAAAAACATCCAGTGAGCGGCAGTTCTGTGGGCGGAAATGCCTTGTTGATGCCAGAGGTCAGAGGAGAATGGCCAGACTGGTTCGAGCTGATAGAAGGGCAACAGTGACTCAAATAACCACCCGTTACAACCAAGGTGGGCAGAAGAGCATCTCTGAACGCACAGTACGTCGAACTTTGAGGCAGATGGGCTACAGCAGCAGAAGACCACACCGGGTGCCACTCCTTTCAGCTAAGAACAGGAAACTGAGGCTACAATTTGCACAAGCTCATCGAAATTGGACAATAGAAGATTGGAAAAACGTTGCCTGGTCTGATGAGTCTCGATTTCTGCTGCGACATTCGGATGGTAGGGTCAGAATTTGGCTTCTACAAATTGAAAGCATGGATCCATCCTGCCTTGTATCAACGGTTCAGGCTGGTGGTGGTGGTGTCATGGTGTGGGGAATATTTTCTTGGCACTCTTTGGGCCCCTTGGTACCAATTGAGCATTGTTGCAACGCCACAGCCTACCTGAGTATTGTTGCTGACCATGTCCATCCCTTTATGACCACAATGTACCCAACTTCTGATGGCTACTTTCAGCAGGATAATGCGCCATGTCATAAAGCTGGAATCATCTCAGACTGGTTTCTTGAACATGACAATGAGTTCGCTGTACTCAAATGGCCTCCACAGTCACCAGATCTCAATCCAATAGAGCATCTTTGGGATGTGGTGGAACGGGAGATTCGCATCATGGATGTGCAGCCGACAAATCTGCGGCAACTGTGTGATGCCATCATGTCAATATGGACCAAACTCCCTGAGGAATGCTTCCAGCACCTTGTTGAATCTATGCCACGAAGAATTGAGGCAGTTCTGAAGGCAAAAGGGGGTCCAACCCGTTACTAGCATGGGGTACCTAATAAAGTGGCCGGTGAGTGTATATCATGTCATTCCATTGACCTGAAGACTGTAAGAGTGAGTAATGGCTTCTGAAAATTCTAAATTTGAAAACATTAAAATATAAAAACAATAAAATATCCCAATATTATGTTTACAGTATTATGTTTTATTGAATTTTTGATCAAATAAATGATGGCAAACCCAAAACTTTTAAATAACAATGCATGTGTAAAAAAGCTGCTGCATAAAGCTGAACGATGTGGAAATAATTGTCTGATTGAGACTGAAAAGAAAATTGCTGATGAGTTCCCTGCCAGCAAATAACAAATCTTCCTCTTCAATTGAGCCTCTGTCCCTGAGAAAATGCCCTGTGTGAAACCGGCTTCCAAACAGTGGAGTCATTTTCCTGTTTTAAATTGTAGGGTTACTACTGAAAACAAGTGAAAAAAATAACGTGCAGTGGCACAAAACTACTTTTGCACCCCGGGAGGACAAAGATATTTCAAGTAAACATAATTAGTCAAAAAAAAAAAAAGAAGATGCATCAAGGCATGACAATGCACGACACACACTGTCATTTCTGAGTGCCCTGCAACAGAGAATACAGATGAAATCCAATTAAAAACCTATTGCCGGGCCAGTCAAACCATCCAACTCCCAGCGCAATTTAGCTTGTAGCATTGGCACATCATTTATGGTCGACACAGAGCATAATTCACTAAACTCATTCCATCATATCCAGCACCATGATGCTTGTCAAGAGCTGAACCCAATCAATGTGCGTTCTGCATGTGTCTTCCCCGCTGGGCAATGTCTGGCGTCTGCTCGTCTCCACTGACTTCATATACAAGAGGAAGAACATTAAACAGAGATATGCTGATTCTCTTTTACATTAATTATTTAAGAAAAGAAAAAGCAGCATTGAACTATGTTCATATGAACAAAAGAACTCTTCTTCATCAATGTGCCGATATCATCATATGCGGATGTATTATAGCGTGTCATTCCTGCAGGTCACACTGAGTATAATTTACATATAACCAATATGATTTTTTTTTTTATTCAAATTTGATGTGGTTTGTCCCTGAGCTTATTTTTAGGGGATTTTATTCAACGGCTCTTGTATAGCCATATTGTATGGAAGCATTTTTTTGTTTTTGTTTTTTACTTTTTTTCCTCACAATTGCGAGTTTATATCTCACAATTTAGACTTTTTTTTCCAGAATTGCTAGTTCATATATCACAATTCTGAGTTTACATCTTGCAATTCTTTATACCTGCCCTATACACTGTAAAAAAACATATATTTTCATGATTTGTAATCACAACATTTTTTCTTTTGTCAAATCAACTTAAATAATTTATGTAGTTCAGATAACATAATATTTTGTGTTTCAGATGATTAAATTAATCTCCTTCATTGTATTAACTCAATTTGTCCATTTCAATGAACTTAAAATTAAGGCAACCAGGTTACTTAATTTTTTAAGTTAAACCAACAATATTTTTTTACAGTGTATAGTGAAAATGTATGTGAAATACGTTTATTTTATGCCAACTACTACAAATACATTTAAATATTTATGTACTTAATATGAATACAATAGAGTTTTGGTGTAATAAATTGTTAAAGTCTTAAAGTCTTAAGTTATCCAAAAGTAGTGCTGAGGTGCAACTAAAATATACTCAAGTACATTCAATTGTGCTAAAGTGGAACTATTGCAAGTATACTATAGGTACACTTTAATTATATTGCATTTAAAGACTGATATTATACAGTGATCATACTATAAAGATATTTTACGATAAAGTACTCCAAATACATTTTAATTATAACATTTTAACATATGTTCCATGGATTTGTATTGATATAATGAAATAATTGTGAATGCTGAATTTTGAGGGGAAAAGCATAATTGTGAGAGGCAAACTAAATTCTGAGAAAAAGTATGACGTCAAAATTGTGAAACAGTTCAACAACAATACAGACGTGAGTCTAAGTCATAATGGCTGCTCTTATAAAAGTACATCATCGTGACCATCTCTATTTGTTTTGCCCCAGGGGTTAATGTTGTGCTCAACCCCCTATCCATTGTGCCTTGATGAGGCTTTTGGGAGGATTTGTGGGAAATGGGAGGGCTGTATAAAACCTCATTGGAGACCAGCTGAGCTCTGAAAAGATCATAAAACCTTCATCTTCCTGAGTCACTGTGCATGGCTCCAAGAGTTTAGGGGTCACGGCAACTGCTGACCCGTTCGCTTGACTCGACTGTTAGGGGCCTTGTTAAAGTCAGCACTTCACTAGCTCTGAGGGAATTTGATTCAGACCCAATAATAATGGCACATGAAGAGGTCTTTCATTTGAAAGAATGGACTAGTGTACAGGAATCCATTCCGGGCAAGCCGGTCTGATTTGCAGTCCCTTAGGGGTTATTGTCTCCCAGCACATATACACACACACACATGCTACCTCTACATCTATTTGAATCATTGGGTGCCAGCACAAAGGGAACTACTAACAAAAATAACCTTGGGGCAAAAGAGGGAGGCATGAACAATATCACTCTTTTACTCACAGATTAACTATTTTTATCTCGAGAGATAATCAGTTCAGCGAGAACTGCCACGCATAACAGTCCTGAGAAACCTGAGAGCTCATCTCCCCGATCTTGGATTTGATCGCAGTAAACATGCTGCAACTGTGAGAGAAGGTGTGTCGGGGGCAGCGGGGCAGTGGGCCAGGGGCGAGAACAGGTGAGGGAGAGTGAAATCCGAGGCCACCAGTGATCATCAACAGCTGATGGGAACACAGTCGTTCCCAGTCTGCTTACTCAGCACAACACCCCCTACAAACATGTCATGGGATTTTAAGTCTTGTGGGGATACTGGGGTGTGTGTGTGTGTGTGCATGTTTGTACTTGTTTTGCTATAGTTGTTAGTCGGGGCCAAAATCTCTGAAAATGTCCTCACATAAACTACACATCTTAAAAATGATGAATGTGTCATTTTATAAACTTTCTAAATAAATGCAATGTATGTTGCTTTGATTCAGATGCCAAATACATAAAACAAGGTTTAATAAAATATTTGTAGTGGGAGATTCTCAAGCTCACAAGCTTGAGTGTGTGTCTGCATAATTATATTGTGTTAGTAAAAAGTCTACGCCCCAGTTAAAACAAGGTTTTTCGTGATGTAAAAAATGAAACAAAGAAGAAAATATCAGTGTTATTCCAATTTTGCATTTTTTTTTTCTTCTCTGAGATATTTCACTTTGGTTTTCAGTAGCATTGGTTGTATTTTTTTTTACATTATTTACATTAAAC